AAAAAAAAAAAAAAAAAAAAAAAAAACAGAATTTTGTGTTTTCAAACATAGTGTCGTTTTATGCTTTTTGTTTAATTGTGCAGCTAGGCTCTACTTCATGTCACTAAGATGGACACATGATAAATTGATCTGAGGATTGCAGTGTCATTATCAATCCTGTCAGTTGCAGACCTGTGGCATAGCATGCTCACAAGAACATTTCTTTGGAAATATGTATGACACAATGAAGAGCAGAAGACATGTAACCACAGAGGTAAGTATCATATATAGTTTATATGATTGAACCTAAACTTGTGTATGTTATTCTTGTAGGTGGTGCATGGATCTTGGTTATGACAGATGAGACTTTGGCACAAATTGCACATATGGAATTGATATGCTCCCTTATATTCTTTCCTTGCCCTTTGGATTTCCTGACAAAAAGGGGGAGAGATGAGTTGTGTGAAATTATGATAAAAAGGGGGAGAGATTGTGTTCTGGAATTAAGGGGGAGTTGTGTTATAATTTTTCTTTGAATTACATTTTTTCTCCCACCTGCTTCACAGGTTTTGTTGTTTCATAATGTGCAGGGATTCAGAGCTTCGATTTTAGAATAGGATTTCATTTGTTAAATCCCGTGCAATTTCTTTTGAGTTGTAATAGGTGTTTTGTCTAGGAAATGCCAAAGGGGGAGATTGTTAGTATGAACATTGTATTGTCATTTCCTAGACTCTAGCATAGGTTGCAAATTAGGTTGTGAAGAATTGTTACTGGACGTTTTGGCACAACTCATTCAATCCCATACTTCCGAGGCACGACTTGACAAATATGAGAAACTTGATTTCAGGTAAATCATGACATAATCATGCATTCACAATAGGATTTTTCTTTTCAATGTCATTGTGATTTAAGTTGAATTATTAGCATTTGGTGTAGTGACGTGCATCATGTGTATCTCCTAATTATCTTGTTTTAGGAGAGAATTGTTTATTTATAAAAGTGGCTGTTTGGTGTCTTCCTAAGAGTCCATAGTGAATTAGAAGTTATATTCTCATTGGGTCAGAACTTATATTCATATTGGACAGCTTTTGAATAGCTGTTGGGTTGGACGTCTTATGTAGAGATTCCTTTTGCATCATGTTTAGGTGTTTTAGGTTGAATAGGATTTAGAGTTGTTGTTGCATGGAAATTGTGGCAACATGGTTTTCTCACGAGGGTGAGAAACCCACTTTGAATAAAAGGACGGCTAACTAGTTTCATAACTCACTTTTCAAGGCAATCATATTTTGAGTATATTGAATCTTTGAGGAAAAGTCTGTCGTGCTTATTTTCTTTGGTAATTCATCAAGTGCTCCTTTGTTGCTTGGTGACTTATCGAATTTATTCATCATTCATATTGCATACATATGCATGTCGGTGACTCATATGGTTGAGGACACCAAGACTGTTGTGGCGTTTATCCTCCGGTGAGCTTGAAGCAATCGTGACCAGTATTGCGTTCAACATAAGGAGTGTCGAAGATCATCCCGTGACAGAAGTTGAGTTATGAAGAAGTCGGTAAACATTATCTAGAATGTGTCTAGGATAAGTGTGTGAGTACTTCTTGTAATCATCATTCTATAGTGGATTTGTGTTGGACTGAGGAGTCCCGTGGATTTTCCCCAGAGGTGGGGTTTTACCACGTAAAATAATTCTTTGGGTGTTCTTTTATTTTATGCCCAGCACGTTTCAGGATTGAAAAGCCATATCAATCCTGCTACCGAAGTTTATTTTTATTTATTTGATTATAATCTTAAATTGGCCTATTAACCTCCTCTAGGCATATATAGACATCCTACAGGTATTTTCATTCTCTTTTACAGCTGCTTCACATGGGCTTGTTTCCTCCCTTTAACCCACGTGAGTTGTTCCACTCCCCATTTACTACATGGGTTCCACATGAAATTTTTACCAATTTCAACACAAGCTGCATATATGAGTTTTACAATGAGTATGGCTGACGAGCCGGGTTTAGTATTAGAAGAGATACACAAAACAAGAATAAGCATACAGGTCAAATAACTTCAAGAATATTTCTTTGTTCTAAGGACGGTTTTCGACCCAAAGATAAGCGAGATTATTTGACTAAAAATTCAATGGAATTTGACCTACTTCTTCAATGGTGTTCTGGATGAAGTTGTTGTGAAGGACTTGTGTATTGGTAAGCTGTGCAAGCAAGTGAATGCGTACGCTTGCAAGTACTGGTTTCGGAGACGGTTGAAGTATCACACTTATTTCTCTATTGCTTCCAGTATGATATCTTTCATTGCTGCGTTTTGCCTTTTTGTTTTTATTATCACACAAACATTCTACGCCATTACCTAGCTCACTAGCTAATGCATGTTTCATATGCTCTGTTTTCTCTCTGTTTTATGTTTCACAAGCTAGTGCATGTTGCTGAGCTCACTAGCTAATATTGCTTGTTTCTTTTCATCCTACGAATTTTACTAGTCTTTTATGTGATTAATTAAATGTTCTTCCTGTATGATGAATTTTACCTATCATTTTTCTGCTTTCCCAATTTATTTCCAATTATTTGGGCCCATATGACAGATTCCAATCCCGTCCTACTTCCAACTCGGGCCCCACTTATTTTGAAGCTGGATTTTGACGTTCTATTCGTTGAACATTTTGGTCTTCTGTACTGCGCCGAGATGCGAGGTGCAGGTAGTGATGAGGGTTTAGGAAAGTACTAAAAAATTAGACAAATTGGAAATCGTTTCGACATCCAATTGTGTCTTACAAAATCAATGAACACAGTGCTTCAAGAAAGTACTAAAATTTCAATAACTCAATTGAGTGGTCAAATGATATCGGATTCAAGTGATTTTTTGTAGAGATAATCTTTGAATGAGTATCTTGTACATATATTGGCCGCACCCAGCATTGACTTGCAGTCCTAAGTAAACACCTCACATGCACATGCTCTCTGCCCAAAGCAGTCGGTAATTTGTCCAAAGAAGTTTTTCGTGTATATATATAACATAAAAGACAAAATTATGTGTGCCCTCTCATGGGGACGAGCACAAGCACAACGGAGAGGGAGAGGGAGAGGGAGAGGGAGAGGGACATGCATGTAGTACAACATTGCTTGTATTCCCAACGTCAACGAAGGGGTATTAACAAAGACCAACTTTAAAAACTTTAAACTTTTTTTTTTATTTTTTATAGTTGTTTGCATACTGTCTTAGCACGTGCCCACACATACTGTGCGCAGTTCTTTATACATAAAATTAACCTTAAAGATTAGATTGCACTGCACTTCCTTGAGGTCTAATTTTTGGATTAAATTCATTATCTGTCTATATGTAAAACAAAAGACATAGAATAGTGAGCAGATTCCAAATCAAAAAGAGGTCTAATCTTTAAGTTACTCCCCACTCCATCCACAGTTATCTCTTCCACTGCACCCTGTATTCCTCTCTTTTTTGTTTTTGTTTTTTTTAATTTTTTTAAATTTAGTTCATCTTTAAATAATATGTAAATACAAAAGATAAGAAAAAAAAAGGCCAAGAGGCTAGTTTGAAGAAAATTTATTGAATGAGTGTTGTGAAAAAAATTTTGAAATCTCAATAATTGAGGTATGAAAAGATCACAGTAGAATCTGATTCCC